TGACCACAAAGTTGTATGCACAAATCAATTCATAATATTAGAAACCCGTAGAGATGTTAAAATTTCACTGAGCGCCATATCTTTTCCCGCCAAAATTGCGGTGCTATTTTCTGCTTTTTATTGTATTTTTATATGTTCTTTTTGACAATCAAGTTTTTGAAAAAAACAAAATAACGAATTTATGTTGACTTTGGTGTTCATACGATTAACAGAGTAATTAAAATCTGTTTTGTTGAGATTTGGCTTCTTGTGACGGGATATTTGACTACGGTGACCATTGTTTAGTCCGCGATATCTCCAAACATATCAATACGAACTTCGAACCCGCTCATAAAACTAAGCACTGCAATCTGCGTGACATAATGGGTTCTTCAGTGTTCAAACCGTTAATCCACTTATCGACTATAACCAATTATCCATATGTGGATTTTATATTTGTGACGTTTGCTGTACTCTTCATCATCAACGCAGTCACGACTTTTTATAGGCTGCTAAAAATGAGATGGGCAAGTGAGAAGGCGTTCGCTGATTTCCCGATTGAAAACAGACATCCTATATTTGGACATGTACTTCTGGTAAGTTGTGTTAACAAATTATATCGTGTTATTTGCATTAGGTTTAAATCCCATCCCACCATGTGACCCAAATCCACCTCAATAGCAATATTTTCAAAAAATGTCCTAAGTTGACAAGTTCGTTTCAGGTCATTGTGCCCGGTCTGATATCTTTTGAGTTGCGCCCTCTGACGACACTTTTGCTTGAGGAAATACATGCATTTCGCCATTACTTCACCCGTACAAAACAAGAGAACTGGTTATGGTTGTGAACCATAACTGCCTCGGCACGAAATCTGTTAAGTAATGAAAGGGAATGTAATAAACAATATATCTGCATTACCCTTCACCGTGAATGACAATGTGGGAGTTGACTCAAATGACTGGTAGAAGCGAGGCTGGGCACATTTTGCGAAATATTAGTTAGTTAGAATTACCAGACACGCAATCGAGACATTGTGGGATATCGAAATATGCATGATACACAGCAAGTGATATTTCCAGAAATATAGTTGGAATAGAAGCAAAAGAGTAGCCTATTAATCCATGAAACATACACATTGTTATTATGTGTGGGGGAAAACTGTCATGTACACAATCATAATAACTGGAAATGGTTTCAGAATGGAAAACTGTTTTATTACTGTATATAATTATGAACAATAAAATCTGAAATTTAGAAAACATGAACAATAAATAGTGAATTTCGGAAACTAAACCTAATATTGTAAATATTGTAACATGGTATGCAACAGAAGGTTTAAAAATATATTTACCGGATTATGCTTAATGAAGTATCTTCATTGTTGTGGGCACTTTCAAAAACAATGTCTCTGCAAGTGTTGTATAAACCCGAATGAAAAGTCCGGAGTCACGGTGAATACTTCTAGCGAGTCACCCCTTCTGAAATGTCTTCAACAAGTCTAGGCCAATTATTAATGTGCGGGGTACTCTGCCCAGTAATATTGAACTTTGCTCTTCGATGAAGCAGGGGTTTCCCTCTTCAAATAATCGAAAATACCCTTGATATTATTTTACTTATCACTACCATCATGCAATCACCCATATTATTGCAATCCCACCGACACAGCAATGATCAACATCATAAATACAAATATTCCTCGTTCTCGTGAGCTGAGGAATGACTTGTGTTTGCCTGTGTAGATAAAAATCAATAGAAAATTAGAATTGAAAATCAATGTGAATCAAAATTTTTACTTACACAACAAACGTTATGACATCATTGAAATTGACAACACAGCTGTCACGGGTGGTTTGTTGGAAAGGTGTAATTTGATATAAAATATATCGTGATTTGACATATATTACCCATCACAATGACACGACATATGACATAACATAATAACCACTACAATGACTTGAAATATTATTCATTTACATGACATACTACCTGTTAAGACATCACTTCATATATAGCACGATGCTTGTATGATGAAATTGTTTTTGCGTATCTGTTAATCGACTTAATTAGCTGATTACTAGCGAATTGTTGTGTTACGTCTGTCATCGTTTAGGCAGGCGAGGTCCTGGACGGAACTCGACTCAGTGATTTGGAACTAATTACGAGATAACCGTCGCTATTCGGACTACTATTTCTGACAGTTTGATATTCGCAATTTATTAATGTAGTGAACGATTAATCAAAAGATATGACGTGTCCAGTACTTAGTGTGATTGGCTGTATGATTGAAGGCCACGCCTTAGAGTCTTAATACTGCTTTGTAATTGGTTAATGTTTTGAAAGTGAATACAGAGTTTTTAGTTGGTCTTGGCGAGTACAGCACGATAGACGCAGTCCAGTCCTGGAGAGTCTAAGGCAGTCTTGAGACACAGTCTTGGACAGAGTCTTGGGTCAGCCTTGCGATAGTCTTGGGGATTTTTCCCCAGGGCGCTGTGTCTTATAGAGTGCTCGACTGATCGACTAAGACCATGACGACATATAATCATGACATATTATTCATTACCAAGATAAGACATATTATATTAAAAATTACATATTAGAAATTTGCCACGACATTCCATGGTATCCATTTTCATGAAATGATATATTGTTCATAAATTAATGTTTGTATGTTAATACATTGTTTCAGGTCAAATTGAATTCAGAGGAAACGATTCAGGATATTGCTGAAAGGGCAGATATATTCCCATACACTGACCAGCTGTGGTTAGGTCCGTTCCATGCACTGTTGATATGTTATCATCCAGACACAATGAAACCAGTTCTTTCTTCCTCAGGTGCGTATACATATTACGTTAAGCGTTACATAGAGACTAGCTTTATCTTATGTTTACCTATTAAAATAATTGCAATGCATTGGTCAATACTTGTATAAATTCTTATGTCATGTGACGTAAATAACATGTCGGTACGACTCATCTGACGCGACAATATTAGTAACCAAAATCCACGGCAACCCATGACAAATGAGTTCTAAAACAGCTTTCTTTAAACTCAATACGATCTATATGGTTAAAAAAATATATTTAATACATATTTATTTTAGTAGTGTTTGTTTTGCTCAACACACCACAGTAAACTATGTTGTGAATTTAAATGTTTAGTTTTAAATATATCATATAAAGCCGTCATTTAAATGATCGTATAAGCAAGTCTTATTGAAATTAAGTTTATGTTTAAGGTAGCGGGACTATTATTTGCATACTTGTTTTCATCTTCTAATTGTGACCAAATGACTACAAATAGACCCAGGAAAGTATATATTTTTGGAATCGCCAGACTTTAAGCTTTTCAAAGGTGTGTTTGCCATACCCGTATCTGCATTCTACGGTGCGTTACTTAATCAAAAAACAAAAATTACTTTTTTTGTAAAAAAAATAATTACGCATTTATGCTGGTGATAATAAGTTTTTTTTTTCACTTTTCCTAGTTGTTTAATAGTCTGGTAAATTGAATGTGTCTGGTCAGTTTTATTCAAGCAACGCGTTTTGAAAAGTAGTGTCCTGAATTTTAATTTCTGTTTTAGTCGCATTGCCCCCAACTCAAACCACAACACATTGGTAAATAATCCATGAAATAGTTTGTCTGGACACATTCAAGTTCCTCTCATTGTCACCTTAAAGCTGTGACAATTTGGTGTTAATCCAACGACAATAAGTATACGTTATTTTTTGTTAAAGACCTTGTATTTTGAAAAACATAAACTCCTAGAAAACGTCGATGAAGTCACAGTAAAGATTTTCAAGCTTGTTTATCTGCACAAGCGATTTGTTTTCCCATCAAGGTCTGTTTTAACATGTGTAGGACCATCCAAATGTGTAAGGCTATTGGAAACTAAAAAAATAAAGGAATGGGATAGCTATCGTTCGATAAAATCGGCAGATGAAAACACCAAAATCAATGATTTTTTTCAGTGGCTGTGTGACCTTGTGTTTGACACATTCATATGCAAATGACTAATCTGTGAAATAAACAGGGGCGGAGACAAACCACTCAAATGTTTGGAAACTCTAATTGTGTGTCAGATAGCTACTGATAACACATCCTAACATTGCTTTGTCTTGAGTTAATCTTTGAAACTTATAGGCACACAAATTAAACCTGTGTTGTTGATTTTGGAAAACACTACTGAAGCTGCATTGCTTCCCTTCAGAAAATCTACATTTTAACCAACTTACATGACATTCTAGGTTACGTTGACTTTATCAGATGAAAGTTTATAGTGCAGTTCATCAATTAATAAATAAATGTGAAAATCGTAATTTTCAACACAAATAATAGTCTCGCTACCTTAAATCATATCTTCATGAATAAATGTAATTGACTCGGATTCTATTTACACATATTCTGTAGCTTATAAAATGTGTTATTCAAATAGCATTTTGACATGCGACACTCATTTATTATGCGTAGGGCGCCACCACGGCCTCACTGGTAGCTAAGGACCACTCTAATATTGGCAAACATATTTTGATTTATGTAGATATTTTACATTTAAGGGAGATACTCTTGTATTTTGTAAAAGATCAAACAGTATAAATCCATTTGTCTAAACCTATACCTATATATCTGTATTTAAGTATGGCTTTTGCTGTATACATAATGGAAATGTTTTTGTATTATGAAAATAAGTTGTTACATGCAGAATACATTTTATGATTAGCTATTGAATAGTCGAAAATAGAAGTAAACACCAAAACAAACATCTATTGAATTTAAAAACACATTTGGACGTTCTAACCTTCAACCAATCCTACATCAGTAGATCGTGCTCCACTCAGAAGGTGATTGGCCGTCAGTTATCTTGGTAAAAATACCAAATTTATTTGCTATTCAAAAAATATACCCAACATGCCATAACAGATGTGAAGCAAATACACGTTATTCATTATATATCCATTTAGTAGTAAATGTTATTGTTAACCACTAACAGAACCAAAAGACGAATTTACGTATGGAATGGTAAAACCGTGGTTAGGAGATGTACTACTGATAAGTAAAGGAAGTAAATGGTTTCGTAATAGACGTCTATTAACACCGGGATTCCATTTTGACATATTGCGACCCTATGTACATATATTCAATGAATGTACACATACGATGATGGTGAGTTAAAACATTTTAAACAGCTTGGCAAATGCATCTACCGCATAGCAAATGAGATGCAAATTATAACCCATAGACTGCGGTTATAAGTGTCAATCATTTGAGTCATTTTTAGGTTTAAATTTGGGTGCAAAATACAACAAATGACAGATTTAATGTATACTTCATCCCACTTTTAAGAACTATATTAAACGTATTTGTTTTATAGTCTACCTTAACTTACGTGTACATTGCTTATTAAACGTGTAATCATTGACTTGTATTGCTATTATGTATATTATACAGTAACGTTCTCCGTCGTTATCGTTATTGAAATTAAATTAGGCTTCTTTTTTATATTTACAGGACAAATGGATGAAGCAATATGACAATGGGATGATAGAGATGTTCGAACATGTCAGTCTGATGACACTGGACAGTTTGATGAAATGCATATTTAGTATTGAGACTCATTGTCAAACTGAGGTGTAAGTTAAGCCATCTATTTTGAGAGATAAACCATGTTTAATTCAGTAGTTGAGATAGATTAAGTAAATGATTATAATAGTAATTGTAAAATATTTATTTTTTGGTGCCAGGCGACAATGAGTGTCACTGTTGTCTCTCCTGACTTTTTGGTAAGTGCAAGTGCTGACACATAGTGCACTTTGTCATTTTCACGTTTGGAACTACATGGCAGGGCGTAAATCACAGAGAAGTTATGCGTAATCCAGATGATATGAATCGTCATGCGTTGGGGGTGGGCATGGCCCCCTGCTCCCCCCTCTGGATCCGCTACTGGTCGAACACCTGCTGACTTTACTTTGTGCCATTCCTTGATATACATTCTCTACTCTCCACACGAGGTATTGCTGTTGTTATTCTACATAGGATGGATTTTTGTGTTTCTCTGCTCCAACGTTGCTACATGGAAACACAAACTAAAAGTAAATATAACCTCTTTTTACCAACGTAAATATTCATATTCGCAGGTCCACAAATCCATACATTACTGCAGTTTATGAGTTATCAGAAATGGTAGTTAATCGGATCAACTTCCCACCATACTTCAGTGATCTCATCTTCCATTTAACGTACAGTGGTTACAAATGGCGAAGAGCTCTACGTCAAGTCCACGGACACTCAAAAACAGTGATACATCAACGAAAGCAGGCATTGGAAGAGCAAAAAGAGCTCGGAATTAAACACAAAAGAAAATATATTGATTTCCTAGATATTCTACTTGAGGCCAGGGTAATTTCGTTTATTTTTCATAATGTCTACGAAATTATAGTCGATCCTGATCACACCGATGTTCAAATGTTCCAAAATGTAAAATAGGAATAAGTATGATGGGTCTCTAGATATAAGTCTTATAATAATACGTCATCGTTATATGCAAATTTTAAGAATGTTGTATGCATTTCACCCATTGGCGTATTTCTTAAAACAGTTTAAAACAAAACAATATTCACAAGGTAACTTTTGTATTTATAGGATGAAAATGGCAAAGGCCTAACAGATCAAGAGATCCAAGATGAAGTTGATACTTTCATGTTTGAGGGACACGACACCACAGCTAGTGGAATTTCTTGGATCCTCTATAACATTGCCAAACACACAGAACATCAACGAAAATGTCAAGAAGAAATTGACGAATTGATGGAACAGAAAGATAAAGATGTGATTGAGTGGTAATGTATCTTAAAATTTTACATAGCCGCTTCTAGTTCTTTAAGTATATGGATGAAATTAGTACAGTGTATGGTTTCATCAACCCATGCATTTATCTAATTATAATAGTTTCTGATATTGAATTCAGATCAAATTTTGTGTTTCTAGGGACGATCTATCAAAACTGCCTTATCTGACAATGTGCATTAAAGAAAGCCTGCAATTGCATCCACCGGTCCCTTTCATTGGAAGGAAATTGAGTAAACCCATTGAAATGCCCTCACCGACAGGCAATGGTAAAGTTACGATTCCTGCTGGTAAGTCATAACAACCAATGCAAAACGTGCCACGTGGTGGTCTTGTTCGTTGGTCTGTAAATAGCTGGCTATATAGTCTCGCCTCGTGCATTCTCGAGATCGTGTGTTGTGGTAAAAAATTACAAGACGATAATCTTACTCATCTTTAAATCTGTAACCCTTTTGCCAACCATGAATTTACAATTTTGTATTTGTATTTTGTAAGAAATGTTTTGAAAATAGACATATTGCAGGTTGTGGTACCACAGTGTCTACTTCCAACATTGCATGATAGGACAAATAAATCTTTTTTATCAACAAAAGTTGCATCTTGTTGATTCGTGTATCCGCATTACTTTTATGTCCATGTCTAGGAAACTAGAGCAAAAAAATGTTGTGCTGTGTAGCCATGGCAATGGTGGTGATGTTCTACAACAAACAAATGTAGTACTCATCTGTATGTATTTCGATTCTAATCTGCAAAATATATTATTTAATTTGTAGGTGAGAGAATTGGTTTGCCTATTATTGGTTTACATCACAATCCCCACGTGTGGGAAGATCCCGAGGTTTATAACCCGTTACGATTTACGCCTGAGAACTCCAAAGGACGCTCACCACATGCATATTTACCATTCTCTGCTGGACCAAGGTAGTTAAAGAGTTGTCTGAGACACCCTGCACATTTAAAAAAAACCTTTGGATTCGAAAATGATATTGATGAATGTGGTTCAATCATTGGGTATCTCGTTATACGGATAACAAATTACTGTAAATTATAGTGTGTTTCTTTGACATTGACAAGAGATGCAGTTTGTGAGGGAATTACACCACCCTGAGTAATGTTATGCACTAACCTAGGATATTTTTATTACATACATATTGATTATGCACAGTTTAAAATCCACACATGAATACAATCATATCAGTTTACGATCTACACATGAATACAACCATATCAGTTTACAATCTACACACAAATACAATCATATCACTTTACAATCTACACATGAATACTACCATATCAGTTTACAATCTACACATGAATACAAGCATATCACTTTACAATCTACACATGCATACAATCATATCAGTTTACAATCTACACATGAATACAACCATATCACTTTACAATCTACACATGAATACAATCATATCACTTTACAATCTACACATGAATACAACCATATCACTTTACAATCTACACATGAATACAATCATATCACTTTACAATCTACACATGAATACAACCATATCACTTTACAATCTACATATGAATACAACCATACCACTT